TTTACACCGAGGTGTAAATTAAAGTGAAGTTGTCGGAAATTCGAAATGAAGCCGAAAAATACAGGACTGGTGAAAATGTGAGAAATTCGAAAAACAGTGAATGGCCCTAACAAGCCACCGTAGAACTCACTGTAGTTTATATTGAATTTATCCCACAATAATGTTAACATTTTACGGGCCAGGCTTTTTACATAATAACGAATAAATAATAAGTGTCAATAATAATGTCAAAAGTTGTTATAGTTGTACCTGCTACAGCACTCTGAAAGGCAGCATTGTATTCCAAAGCAACTTCAGTCTGTGCGTAGTTGGCTCTGTTATCGTCAAATGCGTCGGTTATGTCGGGCCCTCCCACCAAACCTCCTGTCAGTACAATTGGATTGGGGTCTGAAGTAAAACATTTCGCCCAACCACATTTCGTGTCTAAAGGGCAGGCGCTGTGAAACAAAAGTATTGCATAGATTATGTGGTGCGTATGGTGTAATCATAATTGAAGCTGTTATATTTTTGTTGATAATGTTGGTATAGCCCATGCGTGACCGAGCAACGATATTTAGTAGCAAGCATTCCCTTTGTCTTCCAGTCAAAAATATTTCACGATTAACGGAGCTTTTTGTAGTGAAACGACTTTCTTTTCACCTATCTCTCATTCGAACAAATTTATTAAACAATACCCGTCTCTGTGATGTGCTCGTTGTGGCGGATTTTTTCCTAAACCAACCACATAGCTTCTTCCAGCGTCTCCAAGCATGTAATTGATCTGTTGCGTCGCAAATTCACGATAAATTCTTGGTTTGGTGCCCATTTCCGCCATCATCAATGCGATGAAAGATGTGGATGCTATAACAACAAATACCAGAAAATCAGGATCGCTCATTACATCTCTCTGCGCAGTTAGCTGTGCAAGTAATGAATGGAATACAAGTGACACGTCTTTTTTGGCATAGCGGAAAATACAAACATGTCAGCCTGCTAATATTCGGTAAAAGAGAATCTTATTCTCGTCAATCTTATTTCTGCACGTTTACGTTACATCTCACATCCGGTATGCGCGCGCATGCGAAACGCCGTATCTCCAGCTTTGCTAGTTCCCGGCGTTCTTTGCGCGAAAATGGTCTATGAATGAAACAAAAGTGAGAGTAGCGTCAATGTGATTTGTCATTACTCACCGGCTGCTCGCAAGGTCCCCCAGTCCGCGACATAAGCGAGTTTTAGTGGTGTTCTTGGCACATCGTACAACCACCTGTTTACGAATACCTTAACATCTACTTTATACGACGATGAAATATCTGTACCAATGATCCGAGCTAACATAACCTGAACAAACGTGACAACAAGATTGATAATACTGTAAAACAAGTCTTTTTAACTGGCATGTTATTTTAACCAAATAAGCTAATCTGTTATTTTGCTAATTCAAGATGTAGCTAATTAATTTAACAGAAAGTGTATTTGCAATGAGATACTTGACACTTAAGCTAAATTAAGATTCTGATTATTTATGCAAATTAGCTAAAATTTCACTCAGGTATTTCATTGTGTTCTACAGTACGCGCTTAATTTGCCAAGACTCATTCAAGTTTCAAATCGAACGGTGTAGTTTATCATGCACGAAATTTTAATGAGCTGATAAATTAATATAAAAAAATATCATTGTACCAAGTCGGGATGTTTTAGAGATTATTTTATTTTATGCGTCAGTACAATAGCTTACATTGAATGAAGTTCAACTTTAACTTAAGTTAATTTAACAAGTCTTGGCATTACCATACGTGTAGGTACAGTACATCAACCTAAACCGTAAACCTAATGGCAATACACGTGTTTCTTTAAATTGACTTCACGATCAAATGATCCTACCATTTCTAATCTTGTTGTTACGTCCATCATTATTGAAAATAGTACGTGTTTTTGCTGCAAACTTGCAAATCGCAAATATATATCGTTAACCGCAAATCGTAAATCGCAAATGGCAAATTGGGGTTTAATGATGGCCAGTAAATTCAGTTATCTTACCCCAATACCTGGATTCTTGTTTTTCCAAGAAAAGGAGTCGTAGTTAGGCAGGGCGATATTGTATGCATCATATCTCTGAATTGCCTGCGATAGGTAGCTGTCTATGCCTGTAGCTTTATACAACCAAAGCATAGCCCACACCAATTCATCAGTGTAGACCGGATTCCTGAAAAGAAGATGTTTTCTTGGGAAAAGCTCAGTATTTATCACACAAACTATTGCAACTAAAACTGTGGTTGCTCTCTCTCTCTCAGTTATGAGTAGTACACATTATGTGCTATGAGCTTATATGCTAAGATGAAAATAATGTTAAGTACTGAAAATGCAAGTACATCATGTGTGTTTTTTTCTAAACTGAATATTTCTTGAAACGCTCAACCAATTAGGTGAGACCACTGAGATCACATGACAGACGACACATATAATTATGGGTATTAACTGAGATATGTCTATTTTAAATGAGTACATATGTATAGTTATTAGTCTAGTAATTCTTAAATTTTAACCTGAAAATACGTCAGGCTCTTTATGATGTGTTAAATTACTCGTATGGGCCATGTTATGCAATTGTACATGTGTATTGTAGAAATTGTTAAAAGGCAACCACGTGCTTGTAATCAAGAAAAGCCAGCTAACGTACTTCAATATTCATGTAGATACCAAGACCGATAAATAGGGAAAAGAATACTGTACAGCTCTACTGCTAATTGATTGAATGTCCCGTTGTAATTATGCAATCTTTGAGACAATATAAGAAGTTACGAAGTGTGCATACTTCGAAAATGAAATCCCATGACGGAGAAGAAATCGTCAAGCAATTGATTTCCCGGAGCACAATTTAAAAGGCGGTAGTCGTCGCGCTGCGCATGTGCGACATTTGTGTTGATAAACATTGATTTTCCCACAATCCAATGCACTCTTCTAATGGCAATCACAAGTATGAGTTTCGACCTGGGCGCGACTTGCACTGATTACCGCCGGTGACTTCTTCGATGCCTTCCATTCACCAAACACAATACCTAATTAAAGCTTGGTAGCGTCTCAGTTCGTACTCGTTCATCTGCGCAACAGTCAAAAAGTCGCCATCTTTGTTTATATGAGACCCATATCTCGCACATGATTGGTGCGACGACTACCGCCCTTTAAATCTACTATGTTAGGTAATTTGTCTATTTTATTGGTTGGTAATGTCTTACTGGTACACAGGAGCAGAACCAAGTCCGGCTTTCGAATGGCTCATGGCATAGTTGTACAATTCTTCCGATTTGCTAAGACAGGTATGTGCATATACTGGGTCATCTACATGAAAAAGTGTTTCGTTGTTATTCAATTAATTATCAATTCAGTGTATCACATTCTGTAGAATTTCTCTTTGTCTATTTCTTATAGACAATTTTAACATCGCCTTTGTCGATTTCTTCTAGTCAATATTACACTGTCTTTGTCAATTTCGTTGAAACAATAATGACATCATTTTTGTCGCATTGCATTTCGCCCTTTACACGAACACATTGCCTAATGTTGTTTTTACATAATTTAGCCAAATTAATTCATTAGCATCTTTTCAAACAAGTAATTATTAATAATAATATCTAATAAATAAATCCACAACTGTGTTTTTACCGTCTTTAAAAACTATGTTTATGGCGGCCAGGGCGGCAGCAGTCTCGGCAGCCACGTCGCATGCTGTGTATTCAATGTTAGCTTTAAGCGCTGGGCGATCCATCGTCATATCTTCTGCTCTGATCCATACTGAGTGGTCTAAATTTATGTCACCAACCTAATAATTGAGATAAATAGTTAAATAAAGCCAACACTCAATATGCGAAACAAAATACGATATATGTGTGTCCAAAATGTACAAATACGAGTATACGTAATGTCAAGTTACGTACTGCAAGGTTATTGAGCGTGACACCTTGATTGGTTTCAACATTTACATTCTATATCTCGAAAAAATGCAGTCATTAAATGTTGATAAGTCATTAGAATATAGACTTAGACTGCTGTAAATGGCCGCTATAATCTCGTTACTAGCGAGAGAACCACGAGACTTGTTTTGTTTCTCGAATAATATTTAATTCTTCCTTGTCCTAGCATTTAGATGGGGGTCGAGGGGGCCGCGCCCTCCTATTTTTAACAACCAACAGGGCTTCGCGCCATAGGCGCTCGCGAACTTGGCCCCTATTCCAGAATCCTAGATCCGCCTCTGCCTAGCGTCGCATGTTCCCCTGGCCTATGTAATTATGTTATTTAGAACAGTGGGTGAGATAACGGGTGGGATGGGGGTGAACACCATTTGTGCAGCAAATGGTTATCTCACCATCAACAAGATTTCGACCACCATTGGCGTCTAAAGATATATTCTACTTGCTCAAAAACTTGCCTGAAAATAGAGGACGTTTACTTCTGGATAGACTTTCAACAAGTAGTCTGCCCCCCATCGCAACATATCTTTGACGTTTTCTGTTTGTCGGCATGCGTCGTATGCATCCGGGTAGCGCAGGTAACCCCATGCTACTATGGTCAACGTGTGAGCCATGGGCAGAACAATTTTCAGATGATCTCCAGCTACGAAATAATAACAAAACAGAAAAA